CAGCAGGTCCAGGCTGTGGTGGCCGGGAGCGGCCACTGCACTCCAGTCTGGGCGACAGAGTGAGACTCCAACTCAAAAAAAAAAAAATACGATTAGAAATACTGGAGGAGACCAGGTTTGGTGGCTCAGCCTGTCATCCCCGCACTTTGGGAGGCCGGGGCGAGTGGATGGCCTGAGCCCACGGTTTCGAGACCAACCCAGGCAACTTGGCAAGACCTCGTCTCTACAATAAATCAAAAACAATCATCTGGGTGTGGTGGAGTGCGCCTGTAGTTCCAACTCCTTGAAAGGCTGAGACTGAAAGATCATCAGAGCCCAGCAGGTCGAGGCTGGGGTGGCCGAGAGCGTGCCACTGCACTCCAGCCTGGGCAACAGAGTGAGAATCCAACTCAGAAAAAAAAAAGACTGGAGAACACACAGTATTTGCCAAGCCCCCCCGAGTTGAAGATTTTGTTTTTTCCCAATTGCCTGTAACACCCACATATTCACTTAAGGGGCCAGCGGGGTCAGCATTGCTCCCAGGCACTAGAGAAACCCCTCGGGCTGCAGAGACCAGGCAGGATGAGGGTGTTCACTCAGAAAAAACGAGAGCAAAGCATCAAATGTGGCTCCAGCAGAGAGAGGAGGCAGCGCCCGAGTCCTGACCCACTGTGGGGAAACACCCCCCAGTGGAACCTTCCAGACTGGCTGCGGTGGGCAGCTCATCCCAGGGTTCCAAGGCCAGCCAACTGTGCTGGCGACTGGCTGCACCTTGAGGGCCGGTGCCAACAGGTGCCTATAGGTGCCTACAGGTCTGCGGGAGAGCCTTGTGTGGCTGATAAAGGAAGAGCCTGCAGGGAACATTTATCTTCAGGGAAAGGGCGTCTAGACCCAGAGGCGCCTGGGTCAGCTGAGAAGGAGGGGGGAGGGCAGGGCCTTTCTGAAGGGTGAGCCTTTCAGAGGCGGCTAGGACAACCCATCCATCGGGCTGCTGGGACAACCAGTCATCCCGGTTTGACTGAAGACATCCCACGACATAGGATTTTCAGGACCATCCCTGTCAAACCACAGCAGTCGGTCGCCCTTAGATGACCCCAACCTGTGCTGGAAACCTGGGGAGAAGGCATGGCAAAAGTGAAAAGGTCACAGCTCTCAACCTGGCTTCCCGAAATAGTACCCACAAACCGGCAGCCTCGTCTTCACCTGGGAGCGTGTCAGAAATGCAGATTCTCAGGCCCCCCAGACTGGTTGAATCCGTCTTCTGCGTGTTCACAAGTGCCCCGAATAGTTTGCACGTAGCTTGGAGTCTGTGAATGACCGCCTCAGAAGGCCCAGTGGCATCTCCCTTGAGCTCGGGAGCACAGGTGAAGAGCAGAGAGAACTTTTCTGGGCTGTGATATGGCCAATATCCAGGTCTCACCTGAAACCAGATCGGCCTTAGCTGGGAAGGAGCAGAGCCCTGGGCAGATGATATACGAGAGGTCCAAAGGCGAGAGAGGGAGAAGAATGGATGGCCCGAACCAGGCAGGAGGCAGCCCCTGAACATCAGGAATCACGTTTGCAGCGAATGCCAGGAGGGCCGGGAACCAGCAAGCAGTGGTGAGAACAAGGCCAAGGCCGGAGAAACACGCTTCTGTTCCTGGGACTGCAGCCCTGTTTTGACCTCGTCTGGGCTCACGTGGGCTGGGCAATGCATTGGGCTTAGAAATGTGGAGCCGCGGTAGTGAGCGTGCAGAAAAAAATACAAAATAAGAAATGGCCCCCCGCCCCCAGGGGACACCTCTTCAGATCTGGGCGCCAGTGACTTCCCTCACTCAGCAGCAGCATGAAGGGAAGTTCAGCTTCTTTCTTTTTCTTTACCTGGTCTGGTCCCCTTCGTGGCCTCCAGCGCTGAAGCCTGGCAGGGATAATGTACACTTAATGAATAAGAGGGTGCCTAGCTGGTTGTGGTGGCTCACACCTGTCATCCCAGCACTTTGAGAAGGTTGCCTGAGCCCAGGGAATTGAGTCCAGCCTGGGCAACTTGGTGAGACCTTTTCTCTACGATAAATCAAGAAAAATTAGCTGGGTGGCACATACCTGTAGTTTTAGCTGCTTGGAAGACAAAGGTGAATGGATCGCCTGAGCCCAGCAGGTCGAGGCTGCGGTGGCCTTGAGCATGCCATGGCACTCTAGCCTGGATGACAGAGTGAGACTTTAACTCAAAAAAGAAAAAAAAGTGAGAGGGTGCCAAAAACATGCATACATATTTTAAGAAAGGAAAAACTGCATTAAAATAGTAGATGAATACAAGTTACATCTGCCTTTTTTTGAGTTAGAGTCTCACTCTGTCGTCCAGGCTGGAGTGCCAGGCATGCTCATGGCCACCGCAGCCTCAACCTGCTGGGCTCAGGTGATCCTTCGGCCTCAGCCTTCCAAGGAGCTGGAACTACAGGCACGCGCCACCACGCCCGGCTAACATCTGACTTTTACAATTGCAAGAGGTGCTCCCAGTGATTACATCAGTGTTCAAACCCTTCTGGTGACAGTGAACTAAAAGCAATACATGGGTAACATAGCTTAAAATGGGGGTGTTATTTTGGCACCCCCGTGGTGTTTCTTCCTTCTCTAGGTTGAGCATAATTTTTTCACTTTAAACATTCAAACCAGTGGTTCTGAGATTCAAAAGCACATCACAGTCACCTGGAGGGCTTTGTTAAAACACTGATTACTGGGCCCAGCCCCCAGGGTTTCTGATTCAGCACCTCCAGGGTGGAGCCCAAGAATTTGCATTTCTAATGAGTTCCCAGGTAATGCTGCTATTGTT